AAGGTTTAGAAGCTCCTTTCAACATCCCTGGACCTGTTCTTGTGCCAAAAAAATGGCTGTTAGCCGGCAACAAGATGTTAGATATTGAGGAACAGAGGAGTCCAAAAATAACCCTAAGACTCCCCCCAACTCCAACTCTAAACCTTTGTTTATCATCAAAGCCATGTGATCCCTATGTCATTGCTAACATGGAGATCACATGGCTTTGTTAGTCAGCAGCTACTGTAAATGAAGGTGTTTTTGGGTGGTTTATAAGGGTGCAATGGAGGTTACATGACTCTTGAAGATTGTAGAAGCTCCTTTCAACGTCCCTGGACCTGTTCTTGTGCAAAAAGTGGCTTTCTGTTAGCTGGAAACATGATGTTAGATATTGAGGAACAGAGGAATCCACAAATAACCCTAAGTCTCACCTTAACTCCAGCTTTAAGCCATTGTTTATCAACAAAGCCATGTGATCTCCATGTCATTGCTAACATGGAGATCACATGGGTTTGTTAGTCAGAAGCTAAATGAAGGTGTTTTTGGGCGGTTTATAAGGGTGCAATGGAGGTTAGATGGCTCTCGAAGGTTCTACAAGCTCCTTTCAACATCCCTGGACCTGTTCTTATGCCAAAAAATGGATTTCTGTTAGCCGGAAACATGATGTTAGATATTGAGGAACAGAGGAATCCACAAATAACCCTAAGACTCCCCTTAACTCCAACTTTAAGCCATTGTTTATCAACAAAGCCATGTGATCCCTATGTCATTGCTAACATGGAGATCACATGCCATTGTTAGTCAGCAGCTGAATGAAGGTGTTTTTGGGAGGTTTATAAGGGTGCAATGGAAATGACGTAGTTCTTGAAGGTTGTGCAAGCTCCTTTCAACGTCCCTGACCTGTTCTTGTGCCAAAAAGTGGCTTCCTGTTAGCATGATGTTAGATATTGAGGAACAGAGGAATCCTAAAAATAACCCTAAGACTCCCCCCAACTCCAACTCTAAACCTTTGTTTATCATCAAAGTCATGTGATCTCCTATGTCATTGTTAACATGGAGATCACATGGCTTTGTTAGTCAGCAGCTACTGTAAATGAAGGTGTTTTTGGGTGGTTTATAAGGGTGCAATGGAGGTTACATGACTCTTGAAGGTTGTAGAAGCTCCTTTCAACATCCCTGGACCTGTTCTTGTGCAAAAAGTGGCTTTCTGTTAGCCGGAAACATGATGTTAGATATTTTAGGAACAGAGAAGTCCAAAAATAACCCTAAGGCTCACCTTAACTCCAACTTTAGGCCGTTGTTTATCAACAAATCCCTGTGATCTCCATGTCATTGCTAACATGGAGATCACATGGCTTTGTTAGTCAGAAGCTAAATGAAGGTGTTTTGGGTGGTTTATAAGGGTGCAATGGAGGTTAGATGGCTCTCGAAGGTTCTACAAGCTCCTTTCAACATCCCTGGACCTGTTCTTATGCCAAAAAATGGTTTTCTGTTAGCCGGAAACATGATGTTAGATATTGAGGAACAGAGGAGTCCACAAATAACCCTAAGACTCCCCCCAACTCCAACTTTAAGCCATTGCTTATCAACAAAGCCATGTGATCTCCATGTCATTGCTAACATGGAGATCATATGGCTTTGTTAGTCAGCAGCTAAATGAAGGTGTTTTTGGGTGGTTTATAAGGGTGCAATGGCGGTTACATGGCTCTCGGAGGTTGTAGAAGCTCCTTTCAACGTCCCCGGACCTGTTCTTGTTCCAATAAATGGCTTTCTGTTAGCCGGAAACATGTTGTTATCTATTGAGGAACAGAGGAGTCCAAAAATATCCCTAAGACTCCCCCCAACTCCAACTCTAAACCTTTGTTTATCATCAAAAGCCATGTGATCCCTATGTCATTGTTAACATGGAGATCACATGGCTTCGTTAGAAAACAAGGTCATGTGTTTTTTTTTCTGGGTTTTTGTAAAGAATATTTTACTTAATATGTAAGTTCAGCCAAAACATTTTAGTATATTTTTATTCCTTCCCCATTCTATTGAAAACTAAAAATAAAAAAGTTTGAAACCTAAAACCTATTGAAAACTAATAAAAAAAGCATTTCTAAAGCGGTGACCAACAATGTACACGTAGCACTACATACATTGACAACAGTCCCTGGCCTCAAGAAGCTTCCACTCGATGGTTCCTATCTCACATACTAGGGTCAATTTACCTACCAGTGTGTCTTTAGCACAAGCACAGGGAGAACATGCAAACTCCATGCAGGTTGTGTCAAGGTCGAGATTCCAATGGATGACCCCAGTGCTGCAAGGCAGAGGTGCTGACCACTAAGCCACTGTGCTGTATTTCTGGTGGTATAATTTTTTTTAATTACATTTATAAACGGGCAGACCATTGAATCTCAGTTGATTCCGTATGGAGATTCACCATAGTTAACCCCTTTTATTTGTCTGCAAAAAAGCCAGACTCATCCACAACCCAAAGGCAGCCAAAGATTTTAGCCTAAATTTCTATTATTATAAGCTCAGTTTTTGGGTAAATTGAGTTTGAAAAAGTAGTGTGACATCCATATCAGGGGCGGACTGACCATTCGAGCACTCGGGCACTGCCCGAGGGCCCGGGGTCAGTAGGGGGCCCCATGAGATGCCCCTGGTACCTTTCATAGGCTTTTTTTAGTGTGATTTGAGTATGGGCGAGGACACAGGGGCCCCATGATTCCCTATTGCCCAGGGGCCCCATGAGTTGTCAGTCCGCCCCTGGCCACAAGTCTTCGGGTCCCAACAGGCCTGTTGGAAATCTGCACATGCTAAAAGATGGGTAGTAGCTGGAGCTCCAAAATGTTTCCGTCTTTGCGCATGAGCGGGAAATATCGCATGTGTCCCGAGGGGCTCTGTCAGGACCCAAAGGTTGGGAGGAGGCCTGTGGCTTACCTGCGCAAGTACCATATTAGTGGTGCTGAAGGGAAGGGAGGAGCCATCAAACACGGGGGCTGAAGTTCCCCTTTAAATGCTTACTTGCTGTGTTTTCTTTTCCAGAAATTATTTTTGTTCACTTGCAATGTGTGAACTTGCTAGAAAATGTGACTAGTCCAGGAAGATCCAACTCCCCAGCACAGACCCCACCTGTCTCCTTTTCTGGGAGTGTCTAGTTACTGTCTGTGCTGGCCCAGCTCCTCCTCCCCTCTCCTCACCTAGGTCAGTGATCCACCTAGTTGTTTCTATGCTCTTTAACGCAAGGTGATGTACATATAACGATACCTATAGATTACCATGCAAAGATATATGCAATTCACCTGGCCTCTTGTGCTATCAATATATATATATATACTGTCTCCATTACCAGTCCTGTACCAGTATTGGGGGGTTCACCATCTTTTCCTCCTGTTCTCTAGAGCAGTGGTATCCAAACTATGGCCTATGGGCCAGATACAGCCCTTTGAATGCCTTTATCAGGCCCCTGGGGCATTGTTCCGACCGCTGATATGAGGCACAATTCCTTCCACTGACGCAAACGGTGGGGTGCTATTACTCCAACTAATAACAATGATGGGACACTATTCCTCCCACTGACACCAATGATGGGGCACTATTCCTCCCACTGACACCAATGATGGGGCACTATTCCACTGACACCAATGATGGGGCACTATTCCTCCCACTGACACCAATGACGGGGCACTATTTCCTCCCACTGACACCAATGATGGGGCACTATTCCTCCCACTGATACCAATGATGGGGCACTATTCCTCCCACTGACACCAATGATGGGGCACTATTCCTCCCACTGACACCAATGATGGGGCACTATTCCTCCCACTGACACCAATGATGGGGAACTATTCCTCCCATTGACACCAATGATGGGGCACTATTCCTCCCACTGATACCAATGATGGGGCACTATTCCTCCCACTGACACCAATGATGGGGTACTATTCCTCCCACTGACACCAATGATGGGGCACTATTCCTCCCACTGACACCAATGATGGGGTACTATTCCTCCCACTGACACCAATGATGGGACACTATTTTTTCCCCTACTGACCACCAAATCTGAGACATTGTCCACTCCCACTGACGCTGGGGCATTTTCTACTCTCACTGGTCACAGTCCTGCCCTCTGATAATCTGAGAGACAGTAATCTTGCCCTTTGCTTACACAGTTTGGAGACCCGTTCTAGAGGATTCTAGGTGTATAGAGGGAGGAAGAACAGAGCCGGCAGCCTGAATATTAATGGCACTCCAGCCAATACAGGTCCTCCTTAAGCAGTTGCTTGGTGGAATTTGAACCTTATCTCATCATCATTTCAAAGATGAAAGTTGTAATCTTTTGGCAAAATACTGCAAAGTCCCTTCACTCCTCCCTATGTACTAAACAACTAACCAATCGTGTGCCACGAATCATACCCGCAGCTTGCCGTACACAGTGGCATTTACTGATTGGCTTTTCATCCATTGAACCAAATTGCAGCCGATGCGGGATGTGCGTTTCTTCCATGTCAAGGGTTGTTATTCTCCTCCCACGTCGGCGCTCACACGGAGGTGAAACTAAAACTATTTCTGTTGACATAACCCAGAAGACTGAAATTTACAGCCTGGAAGATGATTGGCTTTTATGATGAAATGTATGCAATTAGCTCTTCAGATATAATTATTCTGTAACTCCGTCTGTACATTGACCCCGATACCTCCAGGCCAGAGGCGCCAGTCGCCCTGATAATGAGCCAATGACATAAGGAGTTTATTATACTGACTGATTAAACTCCGATCCCTTCAGTGACAGTGCTGAGGATGGACATGTATGTGACAGGTGGCGTGTGCTTGGCATGGCAGCTCAGCTTCTGCACCGAATTGTGCTCATGATGGGTCACTTTACCCCCGGACAGTTAGTCCTGACTTTCTCAACCTTTTCACCCCAAAGGAACTCTTTACAAAATTGCAGGAATCCCTGAAAAAAAACATTTATTGGGGTCAGTGTGAAGAAATGTCCCTTACATTGGTGGTCAGTGGGAAGAATGTCCCTTACATTGGGGGTCAGTGGGAAGAATGTCCCTTACATTGGGGGTCAGTGGGAAGAATGTCCCTTACATTGGGGGTCAGTGGGAAGAATGTCCCCTTACATTGGGGGTCAGTGGGAAGAATGTCCCTTACATTGGTGGTCAGTGGGAAGAATGTCCCTTACATTGGGGGTCAGTGGGAAGAATGTCCCTTACATTGGGGGTCAGTGGGAAGAATGCCCCTTACATTGGGGGTCAGTGGGATGAATGTCCCTTACATTGGTGATCAGTGGGAAGAATGTCCCTTACATTGGTGGTCAGTGGGAAGAATGTCCCTTACATTGGTGATGAGTGGGAAGAATGCCCCTTACATTTTGGGTCAGTGGGAAGAATGTCCCTTACATTGGGGGTCAGTGGGAAGAATGTCCCTTACATTGGGGGTCAGTGGGAAGAATGTCCCTTACATTGGGACTCAGTGGGAAGAATGTTTCTTACATTGGGGGGTCAGTGGGAAGAATGTCCCTTACATTGGAGGTCAGTGGGAGGAATGTCCCTTACATTGGGGGTCAGTGGGAAGAATGTCCCTTACATTGGGGGTCAGTGGGAAGAATGTCCCTTACATTGGGGGTCAGTGGGAAGAATGTCCCTTACATTGGTGGTCAGTGGGAAGAATGTCCCTTACATTGGGGTCAGTGGGAAGAATGTCCCTTACATTGGGGGTCAGTGGGAAGAATGTCCCTTACATTGGTGGTCAGTGGGAGGAATGTCCCTTACATTGGGGGTCAGTGGGAAGAATGTCTTTTACATTGGGGGGTCAGTGGGAAGAATGCCCCTCAGATTGGTGGTCTGTGGGAAGAATACCCTTCACATGGGTGGTCTGTGGGAAGAATGCCCTTCACATGGGTGGTCTGTGGGAAGAATGCCCTTCACATGGGTGGTCTGTGGGAAGAATGCCCTGATTACAACGGTGATCAGAATGTCCTCTGTACAGATTTAAAAAGATCATTGGTGTAATGTCAGTGGCTCCAAGTGGTGTTGGCCCCTGCACCTTCAGATGGGAGGTCAATCAGCCACAGCTCAAGAAACCTCTAGCCGGCTCTGGAGGAACCCTGACTTAGAAAGGTTGCTCCAAAGGCACAAAAAAAATATTGGTTACTATTATTTATTAAACTTTCAGCCCACGTCAGCTAAATACAAAGCCAAACTCTATCCCCTGCCAGCATCTGCAGATATAGACCCTTCCTTTGTGTGTGGAAGCAGCGGCCTCTGTGCAGAGATGCAACACCCTCCCCCCAGCTGTGACAGAGTTGGAGCTCTCCAATCAGCAGAGAGAATGAGCTACTGGTCATCACACTCAGCAGGGGGCATGTCAGACCTTTGCGGAGAGACCACTGCTTCCACAGAGAGCAAGGGTCCTTCTCTTCAGCACGCTGGCAGGAAACAGACTTTTCTTCTCAGGCTGTAGCTACTTTCTAAAGAAAACAAACTTTGCACTCCCTCTGTGTTGATGAACTCTTTTCATTTATTCAGATCATTCAAACTGACAGTTTAGTTGGGGTTTCAGTACTTGTGTTCCGGCACACGTTGGGATTTTTGTCTTTCTCTGGATCACCTGCAGATTTCGGGTTCTGGGGATGAAAGATGTTTTTATTTTATTTATTGTTCATTGTTGGTTGAATTCTATGGATATCTTTTTTTAAACCTGACTATGTAACTAATGTCGAAGAGTCGACTCGATTCTGAAAACTGGCCGAATCTGAAGAAACATAAAGCTGGGTGAAAAATAAACGTCCGTTAATGTGACCAATACGCAGCTGATTGTGGTGGACGGGTCGCATGGAAGACGTGTTAGGAGGAAGAAAGCTGAACAACCTTGTGAAGAAGGAATGGTTATTTCTCAATACTTTCACATTCCTGCAATAACTAAATTACCATTTTATTCCAATTATCTGTGTTCTTTAGGGCGTTGGCAGCCCAACCAGAACAAAGACGGGAGACATGCAGGTCTTGGTGTGTGGGCACGCCTGTACATCTTCATAATATCTGCAGTTCTGAGAAAGAGGAATGAAATATAAAGGGATAGAAAAAAAAAAAAGAAAGAAGAGAATGAGAAAAAGGGAAAAAAAAAAACACATAGAAGATAACATACATTGGATACAGAACCTCAGTAAAACAAATCATACAATTAATTCTACTTATTGATTACGTATTCCTCCCATTGGCAGTGAATTTCAGGGGACACTTTGGATAGCCATAAAGATTTCTATTTTTCCAGTTTATTTTAATGTTACCTGTTACCCTAATCTTCATCTCATAGAAAAGTACATTCCTGGCGCCAACATGGCGGCATACCTGTGGTATTCTGCTGCCATGGATTGGCATATGAAAAAAAAAAATTGAAGTAAGCATTTGATACAATTTTCCATTTTCTTGGAACCAATATGGCAGCATAAAACCAAAGGTATTCTACCATGGATTGATGCCAAGAAAGGAAAATGTCACCCTTACCCCTAATGCTGGTGGTCAGACACTATAGCTGCTTTCTGCGTTCTTTACCTATGGCAGCCCCCTTTTCCATAAGGCAAGCAGGCCTACCAGTACTCTCCGTTGCCTTATACACAATGCTATAGTGCCTGGCTACCATGTCTGGGCACAGCAAATGGATACTTGTGGTTAGCAGATAGGCAACGTGGTTCAATGACAGTCCAGGTACAAGGCAGGCAGAGTTCAGAGAGTAGTCATTGTCCAATCCAAGGTCTTCAATGAGGGAATCCAAACTATGCAATATCACAAGCATGAGACTGTAGGCTTGGCTGGCTTAAATCAGGCTTGGTCTCCACCCAGAGACTGGCCACATCAATCACCTTGCAGGTGGACAGACAGGGAGAATGTATCACAACTAAAACTGGGATGCTGGAATGAGACCAGCAGCTGTGATGGAGCAGGAGCACTACACACCCCAGACAGAACATTCTTCCCACTGACCACCAATGTAAGGGACATTCTTCCCACTGACCTCCAATGTAAGGGACATTCTTCCCCCACTGACCCCTAATGTAAGGGATTCTTCCCACTGACCCCCAATGTAAGGGACATTCTTCCCACTGACCCCCAATGTAAGGGACATTCTTCCCACTGACCCCCCACAATGTAAGGTACATTCTTCCCACTGACCACCAATGTAAGGGACATTCTTCCCACTGATCCCCAATGTAAGGTAAATTCTTCCCACTGACCACCAATGTAAGGGACATTCTTCCCACTGACCCCCAATGTAAGGGACATTCTTCCCACTGACCCCCCCTATGTAAGGGACATTCTTCCCACCGACCCCCAATGTAAGTGACATTCTTCCCCCTGACCACCAATGTAAGGGACATTCTTCCCACCGACCCCCAATGTAAGGGACATTCTTCCCCCTTGACCCCCAATGTAAGGGACATTCTTCCCACTGACCACCAATGTAAGGGACATTCTTCCCACTGACCCCCAATGTAAGGAACATTCTTCCCACTGATCACCAATGTAAGGGACATTCTTCCCACTGACCCCCAATGTAAGGGACATTCTTCCCACTGACCCCCAATGTAAGGGACATTCTTCCCACTGACCCCCAATGTAAGTGACATTCTTCCCACTGACCCCCAATGTAAGGGACATTCTTCCCACTGACCCCCAATGTAAGTGACATTCTTCCCACTGACCCCCAATGTAAGGGACATTCTTCCCACTGACCCCCAATGTAAGGGACATTCTTCCCACACTGACCACCAATGTAAGGGACATTCTTCCCACCGACCACCAATGTAAGGGACATTCTTCCCCCTGACCCCCAATGTAAGGGACATTCTTCCCACCGACCACCAATGTAAGGGACATTCTTCCCACTGACCCCCAATGTAAGGGGCATTCTTCCCACTGACCCCCAATGTAAGTGACATTCTTCCCCTGACCACCAATGTAAGGGACATTCTTCCCACCGACCACCAATGTAAGGGACATTCTTCCCCCTGACCCCCAATGTAAGGGACATTCTTCCCACCGACCACCAATGTAAGGGACATTCTTCCCACTGACCCCCAATGTAAGGGGCATTCTTCCCACTGACCCCCAATGTAAGTGACATTCTTCCCCCTGACCACCAATGTAAGGGACATTCTTCCCACCGACCACCAATGTAAGGGACATTCTTCCCCCTGACCCCCAAATGTAAGGGACATTCTTCCCACCGACCACCAATGTAAGGGACATTCTTCCCACTGACCTCCAATGTAAGGGACATTCTTCCCACTGATCACCAATGTAAGGGACATTCTTCCCCAACTGACCCCCAATGTAAGGGACATTCTTCCCACTGACCACCAATGTAAGGGACATTCTTCCCACTGATCACCAATGTAAGGGACATTCTTCCCACTGACCCCCAATGTAAGGGACATTCTTCCCACTGACCCCCAATGTAAGGGGCATTCTTCCCACTGACCCCCCAATGTAAGGGGAATTCTTCCCACTGACCCCCAATGTAAGGGACATTCTTCCCACTGACCCCCAATGTAAGGAACATTCTTCCCACTGACCCCCAATGTAAGGGACATTCTTCCCACTGACCCCCAATGTAAGGGACATTCTTCCCACTGACCCCCATGTAAGGGACATTCTTCCCACTGACCACCAATGTAAGGGACATTCTTCCCACTGATCACCAATGTAAGGGACATTCTTCTCACTGACCCCCAATGTAAGGGACATTCTTCCCACTGACCCCCCAATGTAAGGGACATTCTTCCCACTGACCCCCAATGTAAGGGACATTCTTCCCACTGACCCCCAATGTAAGGGACATTCTTCCCCTTGACCCCCAATGTAAGGGACATTCTTCCCACTGACCACCAATGTAAGGGACATTCTTCCCACTGACCCCCAATGTAAGGGACATTCTTCCCACTGATCACCAATGTAAGGGACATTCTTCCCACTGACCCCCAATGTAAGGGACATTCTTCCCACTGACCCCCAATGTAAGGGACATTCTTCCCACTGACCCCAATGTAAGGGACATTCTTCCCACTGACCCCCCAATGTAAGGGACATTCTTCCCACTGACCCCCAATGTAAGTGACATTCTTCCCCCTGACCACCAATGTAAGGGACATTCTTCCCACCGACCACCAATGTAAGGGACATTCTTCCCCCCAATGACCCCCAATGTAAGGGACATTCTTCCCACCGACCACCAATGTAAGGGACATTCTTCCCACTGACCCCCAATGTAAGGGGGCATTCTTCCCACTGACCCCCAATGTAAGTGACATTCTTCCCACTGACCCCCAATGTAAGGGACATTCTTCCCACCGACCCCCAATGTAAGGGACATTCTTCCCCCTGACCCCCAATGTAAGGGACATTCTTCCCACCGACCACCAATGTAAGGGACATTCTTCCCACTGACCCCCAATGTAAGGGGCATTCTTCCCACTGACCCCCCCAATGTAAGTGACATTCTTCCCCCTGACCACCAATGTAAGGGACATTCTTCCCCCTGACCCCCAATGTAAGGGACATTCTTCCCACCGACCACCAATGTAAGGGACATTCTTCCCACTGACCCCCAATGTAAGGGACATTCTTCCCACTGACCACCAATGTAAGGGACATTCTTCCCACTGACCCCCAATGTAAGGGACATTCTTCCCACTGACCCCCAATGTAAGGGACATTCTTCCCACACTGACCCCCAATGTAAGGGACATTCTTCCCACTGATCACCAATGTAAGGGACATTCTTCCCACTGACCACCAATGTAAGGGACATTCTTCCCACTGACCCCCAATGTAAGGGACATTCTTCCCACTGACCCCCAATGTAAGGGACATTCTTCCCACTGACCACCAATGTAAGGGACATTCTTCCCACTGACCACCAATGTAAGGGACATTCTTCCCACTGACCCCCAATGTAAGGGACATTCTTCCCACTGACCCCCAATGTAAGGGACATTCTTCCCACTGACCCCCAATGTAAGGGACATTCTTCCCACTGACCCCCAATGTAAGGGACATTCTTCCCACTGATCACCAATGTAAGGGACATTCTTCTCACTGACCCCCAATGTAAGGGACATTCTTCCCACTGACCCCCAATGTAAGGGACATTCTTCCCACTGACCCCAATGTAAGGGACATTCTTCCCACTGACCCCCAATGTAAGGGACATTCTTCCCAATGATCACCAATGTAAGGGACATTCTTCCCACTGATCACCAATGTAAGGGACATTCTTCCCACTGACCACCAATGTAAGGGACATTCTTCTTCCCACTGACCCCCAATGTAAGGGACATTCTTCCCACTGACCCCCAATGTAAGGGACATTCTTCCCTCTGACCCCCAATGTAAGGGACATTCTTCCCACTGACCCCCAATGTAAGGGACATTCTTCCCACTGACCCCCAATGTAAGGGACATTCCTCTTACTGACCCCCAATGTAAGGGACATTCCTCTTACTGACCCCCAATGTAAGGGACATTCCTTCTTGCTGACCCCCCCAATGTAAGGGACATTCCTCTTACTGACCCCCATGTAAGCACAATAATGGACTGTGAGCTGTAGATATAAATAATCATTATCAGGGGTTCCTTGCGATCTGCAAGCTATTTCATGGGTTTTCTCCATGTTAAAAAGGCTGAGAAAGTCGGCACAAAGTGTTCGGAGAGATGACATGGCATGTACCTTGTACAGAGGAGTTACAACATTCTGTAAAATGGGAAATGAAACATTGTTGCCAAAAGACAATTAAGATGCAAATGATTTCATTACACGAATTGTTCTCTGCCCTAAAGCTGGTGGAACAAATGCTGTGAAATGAACGTGATGAATGATGGTGGATTCCGAGGGGGGGGGGGGCAGGGGGTTTCCAGTACAAGACCAATATCATCAAACCGATGTCTGCCCCCCCACCAGGTAAGTCCCATCCACTCATTATAATTAGGTAGCTTGGCTTTGCTAAATATAATGTCCCGGAGATGTCAGCACCATGTCCTCTCCAGGCCATCATCCAATAAATGATGGACAAACATAAAGAAAATGTCTTTGTGACAACCAATGATGATTTGTGAAAACTTTTTTCTGCTCAGTCAGCTCTCAGGTCTACCATTGTTTCTTCCAAAATATGTCACCAGGAACTATATTGACTTTTCCAAAAGCCCTGAATTCTGCTTCCTGAACCACACCTGAAGTCTGTGTGCAGCTTGATCCCACTCCCAACCTTCGCAGACACTATGGATGAGCTGAACGTTCGGTCTGAGCATGAATGTGGACTGAACATTTGCTGATCGGACATTCAGCTGAATCCTGAACTTCTGGGATGTTTGGGGGGGAATTGTTCTACAATAGAATGGTGGCCAGCTCAGTGGATTGCTGTAGGAAAGTCCTGGATTCTTTCTTGGATACACAGAATATAATGGATATAACATTTATAGGGAAAGGTGATCCAGGGAATATCCGATTGCCTCTAGGGGGATCAGGAAGGAATTTTTTTCCTGCAGGAGCAGATTGGATCGTGCTTTGCTGGGTTTTTGCCTTTTTCTGGATCAACTGTGGGAGGATTATAACTTTTTTTTTTTTAATGGTTGAACTGGATGGACCTTTGTCTTTTTTCAGCCAGACTAACTATGTAACTAACTATGTAACAATGCATTGTCAAAGCCATCATGACCTCACATGCTCAGGTGCAAAACTTAGTCCACCAAAGCACCACAGTGCACAAAGCACCCCCCCCCCCCCCATACAGCTCTTCCAATTGCTGCCAATAAAAGTAGGGTATAAGCCCCACATTATCAGCATCATGTCTGGCCTCCATGGAGAGGCAATGGTTCTGTGCAGTTATGATGGGGCGAGCAGCCTCTGTGTCCTCAGGCCAAAGTAGTGTCATGGACATGGTGCAAGAAGGGCCACGTTTACCGTCTTTTTCGGGTGCTGGGTGTGCTATAGAGCCAAAGTTTGAAGAGAAAGTAGTAAAGTGGCTCACCAAGTCTTCATCGCCTTCCTCCTCAGTCACCGAGGTGCAGAATGGCTTGCAGCTGCCAAAGCACCCTTATCTGCCTCTTTTATCCACAGCTCCTCCTGCTGTTGCCCCACCAAACGTCACACAGGGGTCTGCTAAATTATTTCAGAATAGCGTAAGCCACTTTCTGTAAGAGGATCCAGTAATTAATGAGCTCTGAGGTTTGGCTCACCCAACGAATTAAATTCAAGATACTTGCGACAACTCATCCACCGCTCAGCCCCCCGGCTACATCACTAACCTAGTCTCAAAATACCAAACACATTCGTTCCTCCCAAGACCCCCTGCCCTCTAGTTCTCTTGTCACCTCCTCCCATACTCTCCTCCAGGACTTTTTCAGAACTGCGTCCATCCTCTGGAACTCCCTTCCCCAATGTGTCTGACTATCTCCTATTCTGGCCACTTTTAGACAATCCCTGAAAACTCATCTCTTCAGATAGGCCTATCTTGCCCCCCACCTAACAACCGTACTTGTATTTTATCCATTAGCCCATCCCCCACAGTTATTACCTTTTGTATCTCTTGACCCACCCTCTTAGATTGAAAACTCTGATCCCTCCTGTATTAATTTGTATTGTAATTGTACTGTCTGCCCAAATGTTGTAAAGCTCTGTGTAGACTGTTAGTAGCCATATAATCCAGTATAATAATAATAATAAAGGTAGCCTGGAGAGGGGGGGCACCAGTCAGGGAGAGCCAAATGGCAGTAATGTTCCTGCTGCAGTATCCTGCCAAGTTGGCTCCAGCGATGCGGAGAGGGGATAATGATGACCTCTCGGAGTGCAGAGGAGGAAAGTGAGGGAGAGGCACAACCCCCCCCCCCCCCCCAAGGCAGGATGTCATCTAGGGGCAGACTGAAAAGAAGGGGAATGGAGTAGCCATACTGTTCCACTAAATGACAGAGATCCACGGGAATAAGACACTGTTGTCTCCAAGTCCACTCCCCAGAGTTCCTGTATGTGGGTTTTGTTCAGCAGACCGCACCATTTTCATTTGCAGTCTCTGTCTCCAGTGTATCAAACATGGCAATGCCATCAGCCATTGGGGTACCACCAGGGGCGGACTGACAACTCATGGGGCCCCCAGGCAATAGGGGATCATGGGGCCCCTGTGTCCTTGCCCAAACTCAAAAAAGCCTATGAAAAAGGTACCAGGGGCATCTCATGGGGCCCCCTACTGACCCCGGGCCCTCGGGGCAGTGCCCGAGTTTCCAAATGGTCAGTCCGCCCCTGGGTACCACATGTATGAAGAGACACCTCACCTCTCAGCATGGAGATCATTAGGAACAGCCTTAGAATGCTAGTCATCAGGAAAAGGACTGCACTCCTCCTCCTTCCATCACCTCCCTTTCCACCTCTACCCACCCCCACTATGACTCCTTCTGAGCAGCCTCTAGCCATAGGGATGATGGTTCATCAAGGTCTACCCTAAGGCTCCTCCAGCAGGAAATAGGGGCTGCATGGGGCCATGTAGAGTAGGAGCAACCTCACCCCATCAATTGTAGCATTAAGCAGGCAAGTTTCGCTGTTCTAGCTGCTAGAATAAAAACAAAATACACCCCCAGCCGCCTTCAGCCCAATGCTTAGGTGCAGGTCTGGCCAAATTGCTGGGTTTACAGTTCCTGCCCTTCCAACTGGTGGATTCTGCCCTTTTGGGAATTTGTGGCCTGTGCTGTACTGCAGTGGCAGGTTCCCGGCTTCCATTTCTTCACACATGAGGCTATCCCTGCCCTTCACCACTATGTAGAAGGCAATGTTTCCACCCTGCTTGACCACATAGTCAATAGTAAGGTCCACAGGACCAGGCTAGTGGTCCTGAATGTATGGGCAAGCATGCTATATATCGATCACAGACCACTTATGGACTCTGCTGGCAGTTGGGAAGGATGCAGGGCACACTGCTGGAGCTTGTTGAATCACCCTGTATCCTTACAGCAGGTGGTGGTGGCACCCTCTACCTCCTCCTACTCAATGCCCTCTTTTGCTGAATTGTCCTCTGATCCACCATTCCCCTTTAAGGTTCAAGAAGTTATACAATGGCTCAGGCAAGAAGATGCAATGCAGTGCTGCATCCAGGGCTGCTGTAAGAAATCACGGAGCCGCATACCTGACATGGTACCCACCTCCCCAAAAAAACACACTTTACTAGGCTTCAGTTATGAATGAACACAGCGAGTGATTGGTACTGATCACTCATTGTGTTCATTCATGAAAGAAAGGGTCTGATAAATGTGACATATTTACTGGACCCTTCCCCCACTCTCCATCCTGAAGGATCCTATTGTGTGCTCACAGCTGCCCATGGAAAGGAGAGGAGGGAAGCCGGCAGCACTGCGGGGGTGGGGGCATACAGGGGAGGCCTGGGCAGCAGGGGAAATGTATGGTGCACAGGGAGGGTGATGGGTGCAGCGGGGAGGGGGAAGGGCCATTACTGGAACCAATCTACTGTATGGCTCTCTCTGCAGCAGTTGAAAGCCAGCAGGAGGGAGAGGAGAAGAATCTATCTTTCAGCTGCTGCAGAGAGAGCCATACAGGGGATCGGTTCCAGTAATTCCCCACCCCCCCGCCGTACTGATCACCCTCCCTATCCACATCCCATTCACCCAGTTGCCGGCCTGGGCCCCGTACAGGAGGACTGGTGGTATCCCCTTATCCACAACCCTGGCTGCATCTGGTGTTCCTAAGAGACAAAAGCCACACTTGGACAGAGATTCTGCTATGCAAGGCCAGACCCAAAGGTGGTTGACCCTACTGCAACCTGTGCCAGAAATGGTGAAATGTAACAACTGCACCCACCTGTTGTCCATCCTCCAGCAGGGAAAGTTGACATGTGCTGTGTCTGGCACCCACCCTCTAGTCTAGTGGTACAGCAGTTCCTGGGTAGGTACCAGGGGCGGACTGACCATTTGGAAACTCGAGCACTGCCCGAGGGCCCGGGGTCAGTAGGGGGCCCCATGAGATGCCCCTGCTACCTTTTTCATAGGTTTTTTTGAGTTTGGGCAAGGA